AGAAATTTACAGAATAATAATACACGAAATAGCCTAAATACAATTAGTAAAAGAAACAAAGAAAATGCTAAATTAAAACTTCAAAGTTCCATTCTTCATATGTATTCATGCTTTCACATTTCAGCCTACAATATGCCAAAGTTACAGTTGTGTACCTGGTATTGCCAATACAAGAAGAAGAAGGTCAGCAAAGTAGTATGTAACACAACAACAGCAACAATAACCAGCAACAACCAGCAAACGGAACACCAAGTGACATATTTGAAAACCAACACGATTCCAGCACACTCAATGAAACAATATCAATACAAACCAATGCAGACCAGGAATAACAACTCAAGAAACCACTTAAAAACCTCAATTAAACGGAAACAAACTGATTCTGATTTTCAGTAGTAAATAAGACCTCACTTTTCAGTTTTTAACTCTCAACCTATTGAACTCCTTTTTTTGTAAAAAAAAAAACTCAGCTTGTATTTCACTCCTAAACTATGAATTTCTGATGTCAAAAATCAACCCCTTTTTTTTTAGATTCCTTTTCGAATTTTTTTTCTTTTCAAAATGAATTCTCCCTTTGTATATCCAGTGTATCCAGAGTGTATATCGGATGTATACTATTCTCTTTTTAGATTTTCAGAATGTTTTTTTTGTTCCGAAAAATCCCCAATCTTAATATTCAGAAAATTCCCCTATTCTCTCTCGAATCCCCCTCCTTTTTTCTGTCCAGCTCCCCCTCTATTTATTTACAAACTTGAAACTAAATCTCACTATCTTCTACCCATCCCCCTTTTGAATCCCACTACCTAATGTTTTGTCCCCCACTATATTAAACAATATATTAATTCCTACTAACACATATCTTTTCCTTATTTAATTCCCTTATTACCCCACTACTGCATGCTTTGTCCCCCACTATATTAAACAATGTATTAATTCCCTATCATTATGCCTTGTCCCACACTATGTATTATTTTAATATTATTTTAATATTATTTAATGCTTGGTGGACAGAGCACTCATTAATTATTTTTAAGACTCCTTTAAAATCCCGAAAATGCCCTTGAAAATACTACAATTTACCATTCTACCCCTGAAAATACTGCAATTTACCATTCTACCCCCATCAGCTATAACCAATTCACCTAATCAATCTAACCAAAATACAACAGCTATAACCAATTCCTAATCAAATTTCATCAACAAATTTAGGCGAGAAACTCAATATTTTTGACTGAACAATATTTTTAACAACAAACATACTTTCAGATTCAATAACAGTAACAAATTGAACATAACAAACAAGTAGATTCAAATCACTAAACTCAATAATCAATTGAACTTTAAATTAAATCTAACAACATGATTAAACTAAACACTTCTATATTAAAACAAAACAAGAACATAAAACAAACTGAAGAAATAATCAAGAAATGATAACAACGAACAAGAAAAGAATCAAACATATACTGATTTCAAATCCGAGAATATCAAACAAAATACGGACAGAAATGAATCTTAAACCAACTAACCGGAAATGACCAACGACGAACTCGAACGGAAATGGAAAACTCGAACCAAGACTGCCAACGACCTAACGAATCTCGACTTCAACGACAACCCACCTTCTCTTTTAACCTCGATGAACTCAGAACGACAAACGACGACCTCGACGGATTGAACCTAAAGATGGAGTTGGGGTGAGCAGCTGTGGCTTGGAGATGGAGGGGTCATTTTAGGACGATGGGGGTCACTGGTTGCCGACGGATTGTTTGGTTGCTTGGTTAAGCAACAGTAGCAGTGGCTGACGAGGGGAGGCAGTGGAGCTGGAGCTCGACAAAGAAGGTGAAGATGGGAGGCTGGGCTGCTGGTGGTCAGCTGGACGTGAGGGAGAAGGCAGTTGAAGACGAAGCAGCAGAAGCAGCAGCCATGGCGACTGTGTGTGTGTGTGTTGAGCAGCTGGTCGTGAGGAGGAGCTGCTGGTCGACGGGCTTCGAGCTGGAGTTGCTCGCTGGTGGTTATGAAGGGGAGAAAGGCAGCTGGACGAAGAAGAAGAAGCAGCAAGGGTGGTCGACGTGGTCGTTCATGGTGGTTCGTTTGGAGTAGATGGTGGTGAGGCAGCCATGGTCGTTTGGGACGAGGGGGATGGGGTGTTGCGAAGAAGACGACGCAGCAGGGGGAAGGGGCAGTCATGGCAGGGGTTATTGGAGCTGGGGGGTTGGTTTGGAGAAGAAGAAGATGGGGGGTGGCTTTAGGTTAGGGTTTCCAAAAAATGAAAAATGAAAAATAGAAGAAGTGGGGTTAGGATTTGTTTGGGTTATGGGGCGGACTGGGTCGGGTCGACCCGGTGGGGTTATTTGGTTTGGGCCATGGTTGATTTAAATTAAAAGGTGGCCCAATCCGATTTTCTTCTTCTTTTATTGCTTCTTTTTCTTCTTTTATTTTTTCTTAAACTAAACTAAATTCTAAAAATCCTAAATTATCCTATAGAACTAAATTAATTTATAAAAGTACAAATTAACTCTTAATAACAATTAACACACAATTAAATAGCAATTACGATAAAATCACACAATTTGGACATTAAATGCTAAAAATGCAACGTACAATATTTTTATGATTTTTTTGTTCTTTGTAAAAACAAACTTAATTGCTCCTAATTGTAGAATTAAATCCTAAATGCAAATGCGACATATTTTTGTATTTTTTTTTTATTTTAACAAATAAACATGTATGGACAAATACAAATAATTATCAAAAATGCCACGAAACTTCTCAAAATTGCACACAAAGGAAAATTATTTTATTTTGAATTTTTTGGGGGTAATTCTCTCATAAGGCAAAAATTACGTGCTTACAGAGGTGAAAGTAAAATTTTGATTCAACCAAAGAGCCTGTACTTATACATTCATGACAACGGTTCGGTGGTGCTAGTGACCGAATGTCCACTGGCAAGCATTAATGGTTTGGAGAACTGTACCGATAGGACGTTTCGGTCACCTCGATCGCTTACGTCACGGGGATGACATCATTATCAGGGTCTCCAGAAAATCGAGGCTCAAGTCGTTTCTTATCGTTTTACTCTAAGAAACGAGGGGACTATCTATATACGGTAGAAATTGGGGCTACCCGATTTTGTTCTTTGGTCGAGATAGGAATGTCACGTCAAAGAGCTAGGACGTCGAGTCCGGACCGAGGTAGACATCGATTGCATCCAGAAAGAGGCAGACTTCGAGTGACATCGGCATAGCTTGATGACGGAAAAGAAGAGATATTCGCGATTGGTCGAGGACCCTGTCGTGAATCTCAGAGTTGATCAATTTACAACGGTTAATTAGATGTTAATATGGTTTCCTAATATAATTAGAAGTGTACCTTATTTAGGACTTCTCTATTATATAAAGAAGGATCCCATTCATTTGTAAGGGTCGTTATTGTTCACTAGAAGAATTGATACACTTATTACTTTCTTGCCATTTCATTTACTGTTTATCAAAGTTGCTTTATCATTTACTATCCCACCTCGAGGCTATCCCAAGTCGAGGTCGAGACCTGGCTAGCATACTGGTTTAATTTATTTTATTCTCTAATTTATTCGTTTATTTTTTTACTTATCAATTAATATCGGACGAACTCACATATCGTTTAAACCGCAATACAAAATTTTTGGTGATTAATTAGGCGGTTTGGTAGCCAATTCTGTAAAGAATTTGTTCTCTCTCTTTGATATATCGAGATTTGTAAACCGGTTTTGTTTACTTTTTCAAGGTTGATGAGCTAAGTAGGACAAAGTTTTTTCAGAATTGAACCTTCACACCTTCCAAAAAGAACAAAAACAAAAACTTAAGTCAAACGTGGCATGACAATGTCGTCAACTCTTTCTGATAAGCCCAATATATATACACTAGATACAGTTGGCCCGTGTAGCATGAGCCCAACAATTTATGTAACGTTACTTTTAATTCAAAATATCTTTCATGGTTTTTGCAATTTTATTAAGAAAATCAGTTAATAACATAAATGACTAAGTTAGAGTAGCATCTTTGTACCATTTTGCCCAATTGCTTTTTATTTTCTTGTTTCAATGTTATCTGACAATATAGATGTATTTTCCTGCATCTATAGCATTAGCAGTCATTAGGGCTGTCAAATTTGGCCCAAGCCCAAATGAACCGTCCAACCCATCTAAGGTTGGATTGGTTATTGACCCGCCCATTTATTAAACTTAGCTCATCTTAACCCAACTCATTTCAACCGATTTAAAGTTGGGCTAATTTTTAGCCCAAATTGATCCATGAGCAAGTTTGTCAAAATATCTTAAAAATAATTTTATTTTTTGTTTAATATTTTAAATATGACCATAACAAAAGCAAAAAAGCCTTATTTAGTAATTATACAATTTATAAGAAAATAACACATATTAATTAAAGTTTAATAAGAGTTGGGCGGGTTGGGTTATGACCCGAATTTTAACCCATCTTGACCCAACCCATCTTAACCCAAGTAACTTTTGGGGGGGTCGAATTATTGACTCAACCCATTTTGACCCGCCCAAAATTGACCCAACACGCCCATTTAACCAGTCATGCTATTGCAATACTTCCAAATCTTATTAGTTACTGCACCATGAAAAGAAATAAAGATCTGTAATAGAAAATAAAAAATTGTATTACAGCTCAAATATTCTCATCAGATTGATACTTACTTCAGGAAAGAAAATATTTTATACAACTCCTACATTTTGTTAAATACTGGGAAAACTTCAACAGTATGAAGTCCAACAAAAATCCTTCTATCATCATCAAGAATAAAGGGAAGTCGCACTGGAAAAACAGCAGCATCGACATGTCAATTCTATTCTAGAGCTCTCTATTGGCAGAATCATTTGGTCCAGGTTTCTCTCTATCTGCACAAACTTTTGGTTCAGGTTTTTCTTGCCGATAATTTTCAGTAATTCAACTATAACTATCCTGGATGGTAGTGTGTCATGGTCAGAATAGAACAACTGCTGCAGATTTTTCATCAAATGTGAGTTGTTTTTTGGACTTCTACATCAAATGTGAGTTGTTTTTTGGACTTCTACATCAAATGTGAGTTCTACCACAACCATCTTTTCACCATTTCCTTGAGCTGAAAAGGGAGATGGGGAAGCAATGGGAAACAAAAGTAGACTCACATTAGAAAGAAAACAGGAACCAAAAGTAGATTCGCACAACAAAGAAAAGAAGAGAGAAACCAAACGTGCGTCATTAGCTTTGTGGGGTAAAACTTTAAAAAGTGTGACAAAGGTTCTAGTGGTGGATCTGTTTTTTTTTTCCCTTCTAACTGCAGACACATCCTTCTCATCCATGTCAGTCTACCTTCTGCACACTATTGCTGCACTAAAATCCCCCCTGCTTTCATCATATCTATTGCCTATTCAATATATTACCACCATTGTAAACATTGCCAGAATATCATTCATAAGATTCACAGAGAGACAGCTATATCTATTTCAACCTATGGCCAAATATTAGTGCAGTTCCCTTTTGCTTTCTAGGGCATGTACAGATGTACTATCCTCCTTTTTCTCTATTTCAATAATGACTAAAATACACATCTAACAATATAATGGACAGATGCCAAATTAAACAGGCACAATGAGGCCAAGTAATTTTGTCACACATGTTGCCCTCACAGTGTGTATTTAATGCAGACCCTACATAACAAAAACAAAGAAAAGCAAAAGTCTGAAATTGTGCCTTGTCTCAATGTTAAGTCTTTTCAAACAACAACAACAACGACCCAGTATAATCCCACAAGTGGGGTCTGGGGAGGGTAATATGTACGCAGACCCAGTTAGGTCTTTTCAAACTAAGCCACAAATTTGACCTTGACCAAGGCCAAGATTCCATGTCCAAAGGACCCAGGAGATGGGGCTTTGGCATCATCGATCAAGTTCTAAAATTGCATCAAGAGTAAAATACATATTATGTTATAACTAACAGCTAGCACATCTAAAATTTGCCAGCTTTATTTATCACCTGAAATGCAGTTTTTAGTTAATGATTCTAGGTATCCTTCTTAAATAACCTTCTAGGATGCTCAAAGCAATGCTGAAAGTACATTTATACTTCTTCGGGAATATTTAGCTTACTCCTTGAAAGTTTCTCAACTTCATGGTAGATCGACTTCTTGCGATCATTATGTCAATACAGAAACTCAGTTGAAACTTCAGCATGAGGACACGCACTTGGCAATTTTAGATATTTACTGTACTATAGGTGAACGAAATATTGCAGCGGATACAAAAAGGATACTGTATTAACTCTTAAGATGTCGTTCAAGTAATTCCTGAAAAAGTTTTACAGAAAACTTTGTTGACATATACGAATGGCTATGAGTATGCCCATTTGTCATCTCCTCAATTGTAATTGGGCTGGATGGGCATATTTAAAAAGGATAAACTAAAAAATTGCTTATCTTTAACACTTAACTCTTGGTAAACTCTTCTGCTTGAAATCTTTGTTGATTAAGCTAAAATTCGATACACACAGTGTTTGACCTGTTATTAGAGATTAAGCAGTTAGTTTATGTCAGCAAACCTTGTATTGCTACAGCTTTCTGCTGGATAAATAGACTCAGTAGAGACTATCAGGTAATACTGCATAGTCAAATCATCAAAGTATAGTCTGGTGCTTCAAATAATACTACTTTGNAAAAAAGCTAACTCCTAATTTAGTACTTCCTGGCAGAGGAAAGCCCAACACTTTGACATCACTTTACTTATCGAAAGGGGAAAAAACCCAATACTTTAACAAAGGCAAAATCAATTCCTGGAGTTTTGATCAACACAGATTTAATTTGTTTTCCCATTATACTCAAGCATATAAGACTCTACAAATTGCAGTAATCGTAAAAGAAGTAACCACACAGACATCAGCGAAAACAGAGGTAACCCAACAAAGGACCCAAATAATTGTCAATTTGAACGGTGAATAACAAATTTTAGCACTCACCTGGCAAGAGAAGCAACTGAGACAATCGAGTAGATCGAAAAATGACACAAAAAAAGTAGAGACCACGATGGAGAGAAGATGAGCAGATGATTAGGACTTCTTATACAGCACAATTGTCCATATAAATTCACAGGTGTTGGGCTTTTGTATAAGCTGGGGGTGCTAATAGAAAACATGGACAAAAATGGAATAAAGTAAAATTCTATGTTTTTTTTTTGGAAATTCACTTGAACCGGAAGCTCCTCTCGGTTCTCGCTTATTAATAGCAGTAAAGTAAAATGTAATGAGAACGCCTAGTGCTTGCCTCAGCACACAAAGCATATCGACTACTGGAATCTATCAGCAGCTATTTTCTATACAAATAGACACCTATCGGCTCATTCTTCAAAAAGCAGCTAGAACCTAAACTAATGATGCTTTCGGCTATTGAACTTTCGTCATTTAGGATGCAGTATTCTGATTGCCTAGAATTTTCTCCAAGGCTGTTTAATTTTTAAAAAAGTGAAAAATATTTTCGACAAAGAGCATTCAATATGTGTTATATACCTCTAAAACATAGTATTTTATTTATGTACATAGTGCAATTTTTTGACGAAGGATAGTCGGTTCTTATCATCATGTGGCTTCGCCTAGCTGCACGACAACATATTTCGAAAATTTTGGGGTCAACCTTGGCAAATCTACGTGACTTGTTTGACGAACGTCTTCAACAATCTAACTAAAGAATCAATACGTTATAGCAGCACCTGTGTCTGAAAAAGTAGCTTCCGAAATAGATAGGGTCCAATATGCGCTTTGTNCCCCCCCTCCCCACCACCTTGTACAAATTTTTCTTGACTTGGAACTTCAATTGTCAATATGTCTAAAGAACGTAAATAAATGCTGAATAATACGGACATTATTGATTTTCAGAAGATAGTCAACGTGTTTGTAGTTCGGATGTAATCTTGATCTAGGCCATTTAGCAAAATTTATACTCAATTCCTCCACCCTTCCTCTAAAATTAATGTAGATTTTTATAATAGCTCAAAATAAATTTTAAAAGTAAAAAGCAGGAGCTTTAATGCCCGTTGGGTGCATGCGTTTTATAGTATTCATCTAAGATATTTAGGTGAAAACTTATCTGGTTAGGAGTTGCTAAGCAACAAGGGAGGAGGAATATATCTTAATTCGATTACTAAATAAAGAGTCTTTAATTTAATCGAAGTATAAGATTGATTTGAGGATGGTGTTCTAAGAGTCCGTTTAATCTCATGATAGATTTGGTGCAGCAAAAGTAGAAAGCCTCCAAGGTGAATTTAGAATTTTAACTCTATGGATTAATACTTCTAATTTTAACGTTTTTAAAATTGAATCCATTATATTTTTAAAGTTATGAGTTCATATCTACTCACTCAGTTCACTTTTACTCGTCTACTATTAACTTAGCACATCCCTTAAAAAATAATAAATAAAGTATATAATTACCATGATACTCATATTAATTGATGTATAATATTAATTGGAATGAGTAATTAATGCTTAGGGCAAAACACGAAAAATAAATTATTTTTCTCTTTATATACGAAAAGTGACTAGTATTTTTTTTTAATTCAATCCATCCACCCAGGATTTCATCTCCTGTGGTGGTGGGGGCTTGGCCTACACCCCAACCTTGTATATTATTAACTCAAAGGAAAATTAATACAACAAGGAGGGGGACATAAAATCTAACCTCCATATAATCTAGTTAATCTAAACCAACTAGGAACAATGCTAGAGCATAACCAACGTTAGACAAAAAATTCAGCAAAGCCAACTTCCTATAGGAGTGTTGGCAGAGCCGAAACAAAAGGCATGACTATTTGGTGAATCAGAACATGCCTCGAAGAAAAGATGAAAGATGTTCAAGGAGGATCAAAGTACCCCCGGAGTATTTGGTTGCCCTTATCCTTAAGGAAGGGAGTCCCAATTTGTCCATTTTAAGTGCTCCTTTAGCTTCCCGAGGTAAGTCATTCTCCTGCAGATAGACTTCATTTCAGCATAGTGTTGTGGCATATTTTGCAAGTGAATCAGCCACCTTATTTCCTTCTCTGTAACAGTAATGGACTTGAATTTGTTTTTCCCTGATTTTGTGTTAGATTTGCTCTACTTCATTGTACAAGTGTCATGGGGGATTGAGCTTGTCATTAATCATATTAACAAGTAGTTATGAGTCAAGTTGAAGGCACAAGATATCTATGTGATGTGCATAGCACCGATTAATTCCAAGCAAGGTTGCATATGTCTCACTATAATTGTTAGTTGAGAATTGGAGAGGTATAGCAAATGCCATGACCATCTCTCCATTTCTTCTCCTAACTACTACTCCTGCACCAGCTTTGCCCACCCTAGCCATGTAGCTCCCGTCGGTGTGAAGAGTGAGAGAATTGCAGAGAATGTCATTCCACTTTACAAGTTTGCTAATAAGCTTAGGCTTGTAATCCATAGAATTTTACATATCATGTCCCAGTTCCACTTAGATTCCATTCTACTGATCCTTTTGCCCCGAGATACCTTTACTTGGAAGGTAATCTGGTGCCAAATTCTTGTCAGTGATGTATCTTGTTGGCCATATTTTTTTTGGAGCATCTAGCTTTCCACAACTTCCAACATACAATGATAGGGGTAATTTGTAAAAGCATCCTATGAATCTCGTTGTTAGGCTTGAGCTTCCACAATTTATTAAGAGTATTATGGATATTCACTGGTGTGATATGAATACCCAGGGGACTAGCAATTCTTCTCCATGTATTTAGAAGATATATCACTCTGAATAAAAACATGATTAGCAGTCTCCTCCTTGGCTTCTCTACAGCAAACACATCCAGTAGCTATGTTGAGACAAAATCTATGTAAATGTTCCCAATTGGAAGTTTCTTTTTTAGGATCCTCCACTTCAAGAATGAGACTTTGAATGGTATTTCATTACTCCATAGCTTAGCAATTGTGGGTTCTTGTTCTTTTTTTGTCTGAATGCTTTGAAGGCAGAGGAGCATGAGAAGTGGCCATTAGGATTCAAGCACCAAATAGTTGTATCTTCCTTGTTTCTAATGTCCACCTTTAAAACCTCTTCAGTAATGTGATCCGAGAGAGTTCTCCTGAGTGTATTTGAATTCCAATTGTTTTCAAAAATGAAATCTTTGACTTTTGTGTTCCCAGGTTTCCTAGGTTGGATATTGTGTTGGACTAGGGGTCCTAATCTAATCCAGTTATCCCACTAGAAAAGAACATGCCCCTTTCCTAGTTTCCACATGATATTGGAATCAATCATCTTCCTGGTGTCTAGTAAATTCCTCCAAATGTTGGAGTCTTTGGAATTTTCTATTTTGATAGTAAGTTGGACCTAGGACAATATTTTGTCAGGAGAAATTTTGTCCATAGGTTCTTTTCAGTTCTGAGTCTCCACCATCTCTTAGCAGAGAATGAGGAGCATATGTATTGCAATTTCTTGAATCCAACCCCACCTTCGTCATATGGGTAGCACATCTTATCCCAGGAACTCCAGTGATATTTGTTCTTCCCTTCTTTCATACTCCAAAAGAAGTATGAAAATTTATTTTTAGAATACTTGACAACTAAAAGTGAACGGAGGGAGTACTATTTTGAACTTTTAATGAATTTTACATACTATAAATTTTTATTAAAAAATTATGGGTTCAATTGAATCCATCATGAGTTCACTACATACGCCCACTAAGCCTCGTCACCAAATTTTAGTAACCAAATACCATTGAGCCTGTGTCAACGATCTTAATGAATTAGTAGCTGTCGCATAATATACCATAATACCAACTTGTCTCGACCTCCTCCTATATATTTCTAGAGCAATAGATTATTTCTTTATTTATTTATTACACGAAAAATAAAATTTATGCTACCTATCTTTATAACAAGTTATTTATCCACTTATTTTCCTTTGAAAATCATAGACAATAAATACGAAGAAATTTGTACTACCTATCTATATAATAAGTTATTTATCTGCTTATTTTCCTTCGAAAATTACATTTGTTGACTGAAGAAATAAATCTCGATTCTAGCTAAACTTCAAAATGTCGTTCAAGAGATAAGAATTATACAATACATAAATGCATCTCCAACCCTCCCCCATTTCTCCAAAATGGGGGTATTTTTGCCATAATGGAGCTCCAATGCTCCCCCATTTTTCCCCCAAAATGGGGGATGCATAGTGTTACACCAAATATGGAGTGACACTATTCATCTCCTCCATTATAATTCATATTTATCTTATTATTATTTTTATTATTTAACTCTTTTAATTATCTCTTTATATATACCTAATTATGTTTATATAATATAAATCTTACATATTAACTTTAGCATATAATTTTGATAAATTAATTTTCGTGTATTTATTATTTTTATGTAAAATTATAAGTTAATTTTATTATTGTTACACCCTATAGTTGTCGCGCCCCCTTTTTCTCGCGAAATCGGGTTTATGACATTTGGAGGGCAACTCGTTCCTTTTGGGAACTGGGTTTTGCATTTTTGAAGAGTCACCACCTAATGATTTGAGGTGCATTTAGACACCAATGGGGTTCAATTCTAAGTTTGTTTGGATAACCAGAGATTGGTTAAGGGCTTGAAATTATCCCGAGGGGAAGGTGTTAGGCACTCTCAGGATCCACTAGTGTGGTTCCCAGCCAGACAGTTTATTGTGAATTTAGCAAATAGACAAATATGGGCTTAAATATTAGGGGATTTAAACACATAAAAGAAAGAACAATTAAAAGAAGAGTAAAAAGAGTTTGCTAATAGAAAGAAAAGAGGGGGGGTCCTAGGTTTATATTTATATGGATCACATCAATGCAACACCCGGTAAGACAATCCTCAGAAGAGGGGATACACATGGTATTAGCGCACCGGTCATCATATCCATATCTACCCTTCCCACCCCGTTAAGGTATTAAAGTATGGATTGGTCTCGATTACTATTGCATGCTATTACCCGTCTCATTCCTATCAGTCCCGAAGGCACTTAGGACTACTAGTCCTAAAGGGTGGGATATTAGGCTGATTGGTTTCAAAGGATAAAAATCTAAGGAGACATACAAAACAAATAACACTGCACATTAGGGGAAAGCATGCAAGCAAATAAAGGCTGAGGTATGCCTCCTCAAACAAAGCACATATATAGCATGACTTGCACATACTATTTAGGTCTGATTAAAAATACTAAAGATTAGGGGAGTTTGATTATTGAAGCAGAATTGTTTATTACATAACTCAGATAAGAAGTCTGAATCAGGCCTGCCTGCTGGTTGTAGAAATTAACAAAAAAAGCGGATTCAATTTTACAACTATTACTTTAAGTCTTGCCTAAGTGTTTAGACGGGGTCCTATAGGCATGATATCTACTTAATTCAGAAGGTGGTGAAACAGTGACAACTCAAAACGAATTGCTTGAAATTCTAT